TCGAACATGACTCAAGGAAGAGAAGTCTCACGGTTGTGTAATGAAAATGAATCCGGAAGCGTTTTTACTTAAGCCTCCAACGCTTCACGCCTGTCATTAGCATATTGTGACTTGTTTACCATTCATTTATGCTATTAAAATAATGATTTCATAAGCTCTTTTACTTGCATCTGCATCTGCATACTTCAAAAAGTCATGAACTATAATATATTCGGCAAGGAAACGCTTTCTTCTTCGATACTAATGTTTCAGCGTCCTATGATTCTAACGATAACAAGGAAAGATACCGCTTGTTAAAAAGAGACAGAAATACACCTCAAACACGAAAAGAAAGACCGTTATTATTTACTACTTTCATTAAGGGAGAGGCTCCCAATCTTCATTTTGTTCCAATACTCTGCGCTGTGCGCAAAACCCGATAGCTTCATTCTGCTCAATCCCCTTTGCTTCCATTCTGAGAACGGCGTCAGAATCTCCGAAAGTGAAAAATAAAGCGAGTCACGCCAACACGATAGCCAAAAGAACCAAGAGAAGTAGGAATTAGTAAGCACAATAAGGTTTCCGAAGACAAACACAGCATTTCCCTCCCATGCTTTCGATGGCCACGAGGGACACGATAAAAAACTCATTTGATTTGAACAATTATCGAAACTACAGCTGAAACGACTGGATCGATCAGCGCAATGCAAACGTGCCTTGCGAAGCCGCGGTCGCCCACTTGGGCGGCGACATGCTATTCCGCGCAGGACCACTCCAACATGTCACGTAACCGCATCCGGCGAAGCAGAAGGACGGCAAGAAGGAGGGGATAACTCACAAATAGTGGTAAACTCATCCGATCATCCGATCTGAACAATCATCGAAACCACAGCTGACGAGGAAAGGCTCCTAGGCTGGTGTCAGAGTCCGCGATCCGTCGCAGGTTTCGCTGATTTTCGCGATTTGCGCGATTTTCGCGATTTGCGCGATTCACGCGACGGGTCACGGAAATCACAAGTGCCCGATCAATACTGCAAGGTGTTCTCCAATCCTGCCGCCACTTCTGCTTGATAGTGATGGCTGAATGACGACTGCTCATGATTCCACTTGTTTCATATTCAGTGTTTCAAATGTTCACACACTTGCAATTTTTGCGATCGCAGGTTTCGCGCAAATCGCGTGAAATCGCAAGCGAAACCTGCGACGGATCGCGGACTCTGACACCAGCCCTCGGTCGCCATGGCCATTCGAGAAGCGATGTATACGCCTAGATGTGCCTTTAAACGCTGATCTCAAATTTCTTTTCCAAATCTGCTAAACGATTCTCTGAACGGAGTTATGAAGCAAAACAGCACAACGGTAGTGGTCGGATCACACAGCCAAAACGTCGTAGGATCGGTCCCTTATCGTAATTAACTGTATTGCAATTCTTCAGGAATTCAGCTCAATAGGGTGTTGAAAGCCGGTTAGCTGCATTCCTGAAGAATGGAAAGCAGTAAACACGACAAGGGAACGATCCTATGACGTTATGAGTGTGAGTCTTGAGCACTAGCGTTGGGCTGTTTTGCTTCATAACTCCGTTCAGAGAATCGTTTAGCAGATTTGGAAAGTAGATTTGGGATCAGCGTTTACTGTTTGACTCAATTGTACGGCAGCTTACC